TCAGGTACCACCAGTGGTGAGGTGAGTAGTTTACAGATAGTAGATTATAAAGTAATTCATTTTACTGGGATCTGGTACCATCAGTGGTGAGGTGAGTAGTTTACATAGATAGTAGATTATGAAGTAATTTATTTTACTAGGATCTGGTACCACCAGTGGTGGGGTGAGTAGTTTACATAGATAGTTGATTATGAAGTGATTCATTTTACTGGGATCTGGTACAACCAGTGGTGAGGTGAGTAGTTTACATAGATAGTAGATTATGAAGTGATTCATTTTACTAGGATCTGGTACCACCAGTGGTGGGGTGAGTAATTTACATAGATAGTAGATTATGAAGTAATTCATTTTACTAGGATCTGGTACCATCAGTGGTGAGGTGAGTAGTTTACATAGATAGTTGATTATGAAGTGATTCATTTTACTGGGATCTGGTACCACCAGTGGTGAAGTGAGTAATTTACATAGATAGTAGATTATGAAGTGATTCATTTTACTAGGATCTGGTACCACCAGTGGTGAGGTGAGTAGTTTACATAGATAGTTGATTATGAAGTAATTCATTTTACTAGGATCTGGTATCACCAGTGGTGGGGTGAGTAGTTTACATAGATAGTAGATTATGAAGTGAATTCATTTTACTGGGATCTGGTACCACCAGTGGTGAGGTGAGTAGTTTACATAGATAGTTGATTATGAAGTAATTCATTTTACTAGGATCTGGTACCTCCAGTGGTGGAGGCGAGTAGTTTACACAGATAGTAGATTATGAAGTAATTCATTTTACTAGGATCTGGTACCACCAGTGGTGGGGTGAGTAGTTTACATAGATAGTAGATTATGAAGTGATTCATTTTACTAGGATCTGGTACCACCAGTGGTGAGGTGAGTAGTTTACATAGATAGTAGATTATGAAGTAATTTATTTTACTGGGATCTGGTACCACCAGTGGTGGGGTGAGTAGTTTACATAGATAGTTGATTATGAAGTAATTCATTTTACTGGGATCTGGTACCACCAGTGGTGGGGTGAGTAGTTTACATAGATAGTAGATTATGAAGTGATTCATTCTGGTTAAGTGTCTTTTAATGGATCTCATCATTCCCTGTGTTTGTATTTTAGACTGAAGATTCTTATGGCTCACTCTTAGAACTGTGTTGGAAGGGAACTAAACCAATAGATATTGGTGATGGACAAATACGAAAATTTCTTCAAGATGGTGACACCTTTTATTTATCAGGTATGCTCCTCCACAATTTGCTTTGGGCTGGTGTGGAAAAAAAGATACTTTGAGAGGGCTGTATGGAATCAGACTCCTTTGACAAATACATCAAATGGGCTTTTGCAGATGTTTGTCATTGAATGGTTCTTGATTTGCCATCTTAAACGTTTGTGTATCAATTCCCAGTTAACCTCTTCACCAGTGAATTTAATATGGAACTAAACTCTTTTACTAGTTTCATGTGAGCATGACATATATACTTTTCAAGGCTGGCTTCTGTTAAATTCTGGACATTCTTGTTAAGTGTAAATTTGGAAATTAATCTGATGTAACAATAGCAGAAAATGAACTGACCTGTTCAACATTGGCATATGTTCAAACATTGGCATATGTTCAAACATTGGCATATGTTCAAACATTGGCATATGTTCAAACATTGGCATATGTTCAAACATTGGCATATGTTCAAACATTGGCATATTTTTAGACATTGGCATATGTTCAACTATTGGCATGTGTTCAAACATTGGCATGTGTTCCAACATTGGCATATGTTTCAACATTGGCATATGTTCAAACATTGGCATATGTTTCAACATTGGCATATGTTCAAACATTGGCATATGTTTAGACATTGGCATGTGTTCCAACATTGGCATATGTTCCTTTAATATTAACATGCTTCTTACTCTATGTTTCAGGCCACTGTCAAGGTGATGGTTACTGTATTGGATTTGGAGAGTGTTCTGGCAAAGTACTTCCTGCACACCAGTAACAGAAAGATAATATCATTTGCTTCGATCTTTGCTTATTTCACTGTAATGTTACATGTGATCAGAATGGTGGTGATCAGAATATTAACAGGTGGTGGTATACATGGATACACTGCATAGTTGTATTTAATGTGTTCACAAGTGAATTATGTATGATTTATAGTACTGACACAACACCATATCAAAGTGATACAGCAGTATGCTTAGGAACGACGTCAAAAGATCGATGTCGGATAAAAAACTTATTTGCTTTAGTTTGGGGGTGGGGGGTTTTGACCTCAAAAAGTTTCCATCCTACAAAAACGATTTTATTTGTTAATGAAGTCAAAAAATCGTGGAGTATTTGTAGTTCGTTTTTTTTCTATCCAATCATGGACAGAAATAACAGAAAATGAAAAAAACAAAAATCCAAGACGAGAAAATGGTTTGGTCCGAGTGTAAATATGTGCGTCAAATGAGGTGCATTTGTAAAAGTCTTTTTACACCCACCCGACAGCTAACTGCTATGCAATA